CCGTCTTAGATCCATCAATCCCAACCCACCCTGGCACACCTGTAACATAACAACCTCTCTTCTTAACCAATCACAACTTAATCCCCATAAAAATTTAAACACTCTTCTCAAAATTCCCGCAATCGCCGTCCCTGTAATCGGGAACACAGCCGCAACATGCCAAACCTTACTATACAATAAAACATTTACGACAATCACACGTTGAGCCAGAGTGAGATGCTGGGGCCTCAAAACACCCAGACGTCCCACGATCCTTTCTAACAACCTATCCGAGTTTTCCTCACGCGCCACATCCATGTCATCCTTGTATATAATACCACAAATCTTTAGCGACACTGCACACTTTTTAACATTACAACTCACCATACTCTACCCTTTCCAAGTGCCCAACCCCATGATCATTGACTTCTCACTGTTTACCTTCATACCCGTGGCACGTTCATACACTTGCACAACATCGTCCAACACAGAACAGTCGTATCATTTACATAACCTATTAATCCCGGCCAAAGCGTCCCTCCCTCAACCCCACCCTCACCCAGGGTACTGACAGTACGTTCAACCATTCTAAAAAAAGGATCCTGAAAACACCCAAATAAGATCTGTGACATGGGACACCCCTTCCTGAGACCTCTACCCATCGTAAATTCCCTCCCCATACACCCATTTATTTGTACCCTCATTTTTGCTCCCCTATACAGCGTATTTACCCAATCAACTATTTCTTCCCCATAACCTTTTCTCCTAAGTATACCCAGCAGTGCACGCCTTTCCACTCTATCATAGGCTGCCTGCCAGTCTAAAGCCAGTAAAGCCGCCCCCTCCCCCCCTCCTTTTGACTTCACAAAACTCAAAATCCCGTGTCCTTCAATCATCGACCTTCCGGGCAGCCCAAACTGCGATTTCGAAACGACCCTCCCCACTACACATTTAACCCTATTACCTAAAATTTTTGCAAAAACCTTATAGTCCGCACATAACGATATTGCCCGATACTCCCGAAGGGTGGGCTGCCCCTTACCTTTCGGGACCAACAACACAACTGCCGTAGTCTGCTTATCTCCTAACTTACCCTTCTCCTTCATACAATTAAATAACCTAACCATGAAATTTCCTATCAACGCCCAGTGCTGTAAATAAAATTCCACCGGTAGACCATCAATACCTGAGGCTTTTCCCTTCCTCATGCCCTGTAAAGCAATCTCTATTTCCTCTGCAGTAATAACCCTACCCAAAGCCGTCCTATCACTAAATTGCACGTTGCATATGTACATACCCTGTCTAACTCCACATCATCCACACCCCCACTTGTCCAGTACTTTTCATACCACATATCTGCATATGCATTCATACCCTTCGTATTTATCTCCTGCCCTGCTCTATAGATCCCCATCGCCTCATTTACCTCTAATCTCAGGATAGCCGTCAGCGCCTGCCTTTGCTTTTGATGTCGCAACACACACGCTGACGGTTTGTCCCCCCACAAAACTTCTTCTAACCTGCTTGCACCCTTACCACTTGAAACCGATCATTTTGCAACGTTTGCAATCTCTCTTTTATGTCCACTATTTTGTCCATGGGAAAACACCACCAACCATCCCCTGCCCATAACAACCTCTTAATCGATCCTCTAAATAATTCGCAAGCCCATATTTTAAATTATTTATACGTTTACCCTCCCTCACATAGTACTTTCTTATCCTTTCTTTAGCCACATAATCCCACCATGTTACAATGTCATCCACCTCCTGAGCTTCCTTGTAAAGCTCTTTCCATAAAATAGAAAAACCCTCCAAACCTTCTTCATGACTCAACACACTAATGTTCAATTTCCAATAAGTCCTATATATTTCCGCCATCTCCTCCCACCCTACTTCCACCACTACAGCCCTATGATCTGACATAGCCGCCTCAACGGTATTAAAAGATTTCAAAACAACCCCTTGAGAATGATACACTCTATCTAACCTCACTGCGTATCCCCTCCTAACAAAAGTATGTTCTGTTTCCCACACCCCTCCCCCAAACGCATCACGTAACCTAACGTCCCTCATCAAATCCCTGAGAGTTACAGACATATGCCATGCCCCTTTTGGTTCTACGTCAGCCGCCCTAATAACGCAGTTCCAGTCACACCTCACTATTGCTACTTCCGGAAGTGCACGCAAAAAATAGACAGATCATCGAACACAAAATCCTTCCTTACCTGCATGCTATTCTCCGCAGGCACATACACACTTACAAAAGATACACGCTTACCCATCCATGACCCATCCACACACAACACTCTCCCCCCTCCCCCCTCCCCCCTCACTTCTCTGCAAAATAAACGGGCTCGTCTCCTTTATTAAAATACCCACACCACCTTTTAAACGGGTAGTTGGCAGGGTCATTACTTGATAACCTGCTACCTCTAACACCTTACCCTCCTTGAAATTAAAGTTCCTGGAGGAACACAACATCCACTCTATATTTATTAAGAAACATACACAACCATTCTCTCTTTATTCTGCTACATAAGCCATTAATTAACATTGACAGTCATACACCGAAGGCCTTTTAAATTTTCCGTCCCTTCCTCTTCTCCTCACTCTTTTCACCACTAGAATTAGTATTTCTGTATGTTATCTTCACAATACCTTCTTTCCCCCCTCCCTTCTTCCGATGTTTCTTATCATGACCTGCCCCATCGCCACCTCTTCCCTCTTCTACCACCCCAGTCTGCTTCCCAGGCCTCTGCGCTGGCGTCAGTACATCATCCGAGTCTGACGTAGCTGCCCTTTTCCTTGTTACAATAATGTCCCCCATAACATGGTCTGGGAAAGCCTCACGGTGAACCTCAACATCCAGCTTACAATGATTTATTAATCCCACTGACGTCTCCGCCACATCATCATTCCCCAAATTCTCATATCGTTGACAAGCTGGAAGCGATAGCTCTCCAGCTACTTCTTGCTCAGATGTAACATCCTCCTCAGGCGGTGACAAAGTCTTCAAAACTTTCTGCAATTCTTCCTCTATTTCCAACACTTCCTCCCGTGGTACCATCCCTGCAGAAGTCACTGAATGAGATTCTGGGGCAGGGAACTGAGAGGGGCAACTCACCCCCAGTCCTAAAAGTCTGCTCCACCATCTCACTCCACAAAACGACCACGCCCTCCCTCAGGTGATTGATCCTCACCTGCCATCCGTAAGACAGGGGCTGCGTCTTCTACCACAGGTTCAGGCACGCGTCTTTTCTTCTCACATGCTGCAGCTATGTGGCCATACTCACCACATAGGCGACACGTACTCCTTTGCCCGGGATATAAAACCATGACCTGTGTCCTGAATTCCTGAAGATAAACGTAAGACGGTATGGGATGTCTCAATGTCATTTTAAGGTTAAAAGTACCTTCTGGCAAACCTGCGTAGGCGCCTGCTACCCACATACCATGCTGGGTAAAATGAACTGTCCCATATTTCTCGAAGACTTTTCTGATATCAGCTTCATCCGCCTCAAAGGGAACGTTACGTAACTTTATCCAGGTATAATGCCTGGAAACATCAACCATTCTCACACGTACAGCAGGTGTAACATCAAGACTCGAGCAACCAATGATTCATAAACCGTTGCAGTGAGCAGTTTCACGAAGATTCTATGCGCTCCATTTAAAGCCACTCCATATAATTCTCCATCTTGAATTCCATACGTCTCCCTGATGATCTTAGGTAAGAGAACCTGCTCTGAACTAGGCGAAATCGTCCCCCGGAGAAGCTCAATACCAATAGTATTTATCCGGCGCCTATGACAAACCGCCATATTGACAGCAGTAATTTTCCTGAGGTGTCAACAGAGGCGCGACAGCACCACCTCACACCACTGTAGCCAGGCAAGTGAGAAGCGTCTGCGCAGTAGGTCCACACGGCCCGAGAGCGATGAGGAAAATGCCTCACTCAAGGATAAAGATCCTAGGAGTGAGTATAATACCGAGTACATCGCCAGAAGCACACATTAACCAGATAACTGCTGCGGCATATGGGCGCTTGGCAAACCTGAGAATAGCGTTCCGTTACCTCAGTAAGGAATCGTTCAAGACTTTATACACTGTGTACGTCAGGCCCATACTGTAGTACGCAGCACCAGTTTGGAACCCATATCTGGTCAAACACGTCAAGTAATTAGAGAAAGTGGAAAGGTTTGCAACAAGGCTAGTTCCAGAACTAAGGAGAATGTCCTATGAAGAAAGGTTAAGGGAAATCGATCTGACAACACTGGAGGACAGGAGGGTCAGGGGAGACATGATAACGACATACAAAATACTGCGTGGAATAGACAAGGTGGACAGAGACAGGATGTTCCAGAGATGGGACACAGAAACAGGATCTCATGGAGCTGAGACTCAAAGTAAGGATGTTAGTAAGTATTTCTTCAGTCATAGAGTAGTTAGGAAGTGGAATAGTCTGGCAAACGATGTAGTGGAGGCAGGAACTATACATAGTTTTAAGACGAGGTATGATAAAGCTCATGGAGCAGGGGGAGAGAGGACCTAGTAGCGGTCGGTGAAGAGGCGGGGCCAGGAGCTGAGTCTCGACCCCTGCAACCACAATTAGGTAAGTACAATTAGATGAGTACACACACACACACACACACACACACACACACATACACATATATACGTGCATACTGGCCAAGTGTATAATCGACATATGCCTAAAACAAAATGGTAACTAACTAGCAAAAATATGCTCCGTATTATCTGGAAACATCGTCCAGCTTCGGCTAGCTGCCCTTACTTATCTGGGGTTTGGCAGTGTAGATAAAGTACTGTGTACTTTGATGCAGAGTTTGCAAGTTCGTGTCCTGCTAAACAATCTCGCCTGTTTGCGAATTGTTAAGCATGCATATATAATATATATATATATATATATATATATATATATATTATATATATATATATATATATATAATATATATATATATATATATAATTGTGAACAAAGAGAATATGCAGAAAAACCTGTGCTTGTAGGGGTCCTTGGACGGAGGGCGACAGCCTTGAGCCACCTGTTGCGATCACTCTTAATGAGGAGAGGTCATACTGGCGCAGAAGGGGCGTGTTCCCCATAAACTCGATCAGATAGGGTACGAGAGGTGCCATTGTTACCTGCAACTCAAAATCATGCGCGCATCATCGATTCCAGATACAATATCAAACTTGCGTTGTCTTACACATAAAATATAACTTACATATGCCTAGAAAGAAATAGTCTTGAAGAAGTCAACAAATTCAGTAATAAATGTCATATCTTGCTAATTCTTATTAATATGATAGATTAATAGATATTATTCAGGAAAGAAGGGGAAGTGGGAGGGTTTTATTTTTCTAGACACAAAGAGTTTTGGATATTGTGCCTTAAACACTAAGTCCAAGAATGAATCTGGATAAGCGTTCTTGGATAAACGGGAAATTATTACATGGAGAAAGGAAACACTGGAACAAGAAAACGTCAAGACTCTTTTATTGAGATAAAAAATCAGGATGGAATTTCACATGGTCAATGTTGTCCTCCATACTTTTCCTAATTTTTACAACAGTTATCTCTTAAATACACACATTTATCGGACGGTATCCATGTAATGAGAAGATTGCAAAGTGAAAAGCATGAAAGAAAGCTTCAAGATGACATGGATAAAATTCAGGAAGAGACAGAAAAAGAAAGTTACGATTATGTGAAAAAGGAAAAGGGGGTCGAGAATTAAATACAAACTGGAGAATTAAAAGGAAAGATTCACAAAAATGGCTACAGAAAAATATATTTTGAAATCCATCTCCACAAACCTGTCTGATAAAGTTAAACACTTTTGGTGTCGACTGTCAGTGTTGTGAGGAAAGTGAAGAGATACCTCAGTTTTAATAGTCTGCCATTTTCAATCAAGCGAGTGCTGTCATGTGAAAGGGTGCTAAGATTTTTTTTTGTGGAATGAAAGTTGATGAAGTCATGTTAGAGATTATTGCCATCCTATAAACTGGCTTCTCTCCTATCTACACTTCTAGGCTTCAAAGATGCCGTCTTATTGATTTGGTTCTTATACACAATACTACAAACACGTATTTTAGTCCCATTTTTGTTTCTGTAGACATCTGCTTTTCTCATACATCTTCAAATGCTATAATCTTCTTAATGTGACCTTTGCCTTCTCATCACTCTCTGCACCTGTCTTCTGTGTTTGTTTACGATCCTGTCTTCTGATTTTCTTCAATAATTCCCGACATAGGCCTGTAAACTTAAGCCTTTGTTCTGTCTTTCTTTTCATTGCTTCTTTATCAGCATCTTGAAGACACGAGTTAGAGCTTCAAGTTACGTGCTTCTCCATCCCCTTGTGCTATAGTCTGTCCCATTTGCTACTAATAATACTGCTATTACTATTACTATAACTACTACTACTACTACTACTACTACTGTTCTACTACTAAAACTAATACTATTATTACTACAACTACTACTAATACTATTATCATTATTATTATTATTATTATTATTATTATTATTATTATTATTATTATTATTATTATTATTATTATTATTATTATTATCATTATTGCTACTGCTACTATCCTACTACTACTACTATGATTACCACTACTACTAATATTACTACTACTGCTGGTCCTTCTTCTTCTGCTCCTTCTACTACTGCTAATACTACTCTTGCTACTACTATTAAAACTACTTATGGCACTGACCCGCCTTTCTTTTAATTGTTTCTTATTTAGCACCTTGTAGACATGAGTTACGTGCTTCTCAATCCTCTTTAGCTACAATATATACTACTTACTACTAATATTACTGCTATGATTATTATTATTGTTATCATTATTATTATTATTATTATTATTATTATTATTATTATTATTATTATTATTATCACAATTATTTTTATTATTATTACTTCCACTATTATTACTATTACTACTACTGCTACTACCACTTCTACTACTACTACTACTACTACTACTACTACTACTACTACTACTACTACTACTACTACTACTACTGCTACTGCTGCTGCTGCTGCTGCTGCTGCTGCTGCTGCTGCTGCTACTGCCACTAGTACTACATCCATCATTACTCGCAAATCGGAGAGTGCAACTTACGACGATGTATCAGTCCGACTTGGATCATTAACTAGCTAGTCTACTGTGTGAAAGTTATTTGTGTATTGTTCCAGTCAGAGTACTGTTTCTTTTTATTCTTTACCACTAATACTACAACTATTGTCACTGCTACTCTTATTACGTCTGCTTCCCCTCCTATGTCTACTAGTATTTCTGGTACTACTATCACAATTATTGCTATTTTTAACAGTACTTTAACCTAGACCTCTTTTCTAATATTATTATAATTATTTCTACTTCTTTATGGACTTGTGCTACTACTGTCACTATTACTGTCACTATTACTGTCACTACTACTGTCACTATTACTGTCACTACTACTGTCACTATTACTGTCACTACTACTGTCACTATTACTGTCACTACTACTGTCACTATTACTGTCACTACTACTGTCACTATTACTGTCACTACTACTGTCACTATTACTGTCACTACTACTGTCACTACTACTGTCACTATTACTGTCACTACTACTGTCACTATTACTGTCACTACTACTGTCACTATTACTGTCACTACTACTGTCACTATTACTGTCACTACTACTGTCACTATTACTGTCACTATTACTGTCACTACTACTGTCACTATTACTGTCACTACTACTGTCACTATTACTGTCACTATTACTGTCACTACTACTGTCACTATTACTGTCACTACTACTGTCACTATTACTGTCACTACTACTGTCACTATTACTGTCACTATTACTGTCACTACTACTGTCACTACTACTGTCACTATTACTGTCACTACTACTGTCACTATTACTGTCACTATTACTGTCACTACTACTGTCACTACTACTGTCACTATTACTGTCACTATTACTGTCACTATTACTGTCACTACTACTGTCACTATTACTGTCACTACTACTGTCACTATTACTGTCACTACTACTGTCACTACTACTGTCACTATTACTGTCACTATTACTGTCACTATTACTGTCACTACTACTGTCACTATTACTGTCACTATTACTGTCACTATTACTGTCACTATTACTGTCACTATTACTGTCACTATTACTGTCACTACTACTGTCACTATTACTGTCACTATTACTTTCACTATTACTGTCACTATTACTGTCACTATTACTGTCACTATTACTGTCACTACTACTGTCACTACTACTGTCACTACTACTGTCACTACTACTGTCACTACTACTGTCACTACTACTGTCACTATTACTGTCACTACTACTGTCACTATTACTGTCACTACTACTGTCACTACTACTGTCACTACTACTGTCACTACTACTGTCACTACTACTGTCACTACTACTGTCACTATTACTGTCACTACTACTGTCACTATTACTGTCACTACTACTGTCACTACTACTGTCACTACTACTGTCACTACTACTGTCACTACTACTGTCACTACTACTGTCGCTTTACTGTCATTACTACTGTCACTATTACTGTCACTACTACTGTCACTATTACTGTCACTACTACTGTCACTACTACTGTCACTACTACTGTCACTACTACTGTCGCTTTACTGTCACTACTACTGTCACTACTACTGTCACTACTACTGTCACTATTACTGTCACTACTACTGTCACTATTACTGTCACTACTACTGTCGCTTTACTGTCACTACTACTGTCACTACTACTGTCGCTTTACTGTCATTACTACTGTCACTATTACTGTCACTACTACTGTCACTATTACTGTCACTACTACTGTCACTACTACTGTCACTACTACTGTCACTACTACTGTCACTACTACTGTCACTACTACTGTCACTACTACTGTCACTACTGCTGTCACTACTACTGTCACTACTACTGTCACTACTACTGTCACTACTGCTGTCACTACTAGTCACTACTACTGTCACTACTACTGTCACTACTACTGTCACTACTACTACTGTCACTACTACTGTCACTACTACTGTCACTACTACTGTCACTACTACTGTCACTACTACTACTGTCACTACTACTACTGTCACTACTACTGTCACTACTACTGTCACTACTACTGTCACTACTACTGTCACTACTACTACTGTCACTACTACTGTCACTACTACTGTCACTACTACTACTGTCACTACTACTACTGTCACTACTAATACTACTGCTGAAAGGCGTGTAACATGACACTATATGTTTCTATATTTCACTATCACACTCTGAAACAGTGATAAAACAACATCAATCTAGAGCAAGTGTTCAAGATTTGAGAGTAAAACTTAGTACTCCGTACATTATTACCACTGGAGACTAAGCTAATCCTGTAAAACTTCAGAACGCCATAAAAAAAGGTAAGTTTTCATTTTTTGTTACGATTTCTTTTCGTGGTTAGTTTCCTATGAATTATGTAACACGCTTCAATACTAATTTTAATTATCCGCAAAATTTACCACATTAGGGCTACGACAGCTATTTTTCATTCACCTATAGTTTACCAGTTAATCCTTTTGAACGTATTTTGTGAGTTTTTACACCATGATCACACTTGTCAAACGCTTTTGTAAAATCAGTTTACACCATATGTGCGTTTTGTACATCTTCCGGTGCGTTCAGGACCCTGTCAAAAATGTGTAGCAATAACGAAAGGCGTGTCCCGTAGCTCGATCTCTAGCGCCCTCAGCTCACATACTGAGGTCCGGAGTTGGAATCCACAGTACGGCTGGATAATATTAGGACGTGTTTCCATAAGATACCTGCTGTCCATTTTCACCCATCAGTATAAAATGGGTATCTGGGTGTTAGTCGACTGGTGTGGGTCACATCCTGGGACCAAATTGACCTAAATTGCCCGATATGCTCTGCATAACAAGCGGCTTTCTTTATAGTAGGATATCAGATAGGACTGTATACCTTGTACGTGTAGAAATAAAATTATTAATTATTATTATTATTATTATTATTATTATTATTATTATTATTATTATTATTATTATTATTATTATTATTATTATGCCATGCTTCCCAGGTTTGTGCAAATTTTTCATTCCATTTGATTAAAATCTTGCTTCTTAATACATATTCCAAGATTCTGACTGTAGTGACATTAGTAGCGATTTCGAATACGTATATATATAAATAATATATATAAAATATAGGGAGGTACCACCTCTAAAGCTGGACTGGGGACCCTCATCTTTAGAGAAGACAATAAACGTACCTCAGGGAAAACTCAAGGTTCTCCCCGGGGCTGTTTGTACATATATATATATATATATATATATATATATATATATATATATATATATATATATATATATATATATATATATATATATATATATATATATATATAATATTTATATATATATATATATATATATATATATATATATGTCGTGCCGAATAGGCAGAACTTGCGATCTTGGCTTAAATAGCAACGCTCATCTTGCCATATAGGACAAGCGAAAATTTGTGTATGGAATAATTTCGCCAAAATCATTCTTAACCTAACGAAAAAAAAATATTTCACTGTGTTCGTTAGTATTAAATTATTGTAAACAAATCCAAAATGTATTTAGTTGGGTTAGGCTAAAATAAATTACTCTTGTTATAATAAGGTTAGGTAAGTTTTCTAAGATTCTTTTAGTGCAAAATTAAAAATTTTTCCTTAACATTAATGAAAAAAATATATCTTTAAACGTATAAGAGAAAATTTTAGAAAGGACTTAATTTTAAATGAGTTCTTGCTAATTGACCAGTTTTACATATTCGGCACGACATATATATATATACGTATATGTCGTGCCGAATAGGCAGAACTTGCGATCTTGGCTTAAATAGCAACGCTCATCTTGCCATATAGGACAAGTGAAAATTTGCGTATGCAATAATTTCGCCAAAATCATTCTGAACCTAACGAAAAAAATATATTTCCCTCTGTTTGTTTAGTATTAAATTATTGTAAACAAATTTAAAATATATTTAGTTGGGTTAGGCTAAAATAAATTGTTCTTGTTATAATAAGGTTAGGTAAGTTTTCTAAGATTCTTTTGGAGCAAAATTTAAAATTTTTACATTACAATTAATGAAAAATATATATCTTTAAACGTATAAGAGAAAATTTTAGAAAGGACTTAATTTTAAATGAGTTCTTGCTAATTGACCAGTTTTACATATTCGGAACGACATAATATATATATATATATATATATATATATATATATATATATATATATATATATATATATATATATATATATATATATATATATATATATATATATATATATATATATATACAGCTGGCTTTAAAAATTATATTTATTTATTAACCTTATTAACCACCGCTCAAGCGGCACAAATAAATTAAATAAAATAAACTCAACCAAGCCATTGCCAAAATACCATGTATGTATGCTTAGGTATTTTGTAAAATCATTGGTGAAACAGGGAAATTTAAAATTCAATGTACGGTTAAAAAAATGGAATATCTTAGCTTTGATAAATATTTTGGAATTATAAGAATATGTGCATTACCATATTCATGGGTAACCCGATATTAAATATTTAAAGTAAATATAATTACATTTTATGCAAGTAAACTTAAGGAACAAAATCACACGAAGGTAACGAAGATAACATAATTTTTGCATTTCCTCTAGGCAAAAATACTTATCTGAATAATTTACCAATATTTAGCAGAGGTAATAAAACATACACATTTAATTAGATAGAATTTACACACAGCAAACGAAACATATTAACGATTATTAAGCTCATAATGTTGGCAGGAAGCATTTGTAGCATTAACTGAGAATAATTTGCTTAAGGCAAATGAATACCTATCGCTCACCTTGAATTTTTGGATGGACTCAAGAAAACTCTTGGGAGAAAACTTTCTTAGAGTGATCACTGTACCACCATGTGTTAGAGTGGCAACAACATGGATGTAACCAAATATGTGAAACATCGGTATCACCAGTAATGTTGCCTTAAACATCTGACTGATGGTGTCCGGAACATATTCGTTCCACTGACATCTGAATAAAAAGTAAATATAATGATTATATGTTAATATAAATTCATTTAATTGAAATAATCATATATTTTTGACATGCATTACTCCCAGTGTTGCACGATATATATATATATATATATATATATATATATATATATATATATATATATATATAATATATATATATATATATATATATATATACATATATATATATATATATATATATATATATATATATATATATATATATATATAATATATATATATATATATATATATATATATATATATATATATATATATATATATATATATATATATTATATATGTATATATATTTATATATATGTATATGTCGTGCCGAATAGGCAGAACTTGCCATCTTGGCTTAAATAGCAACGCTCATCTTGCCATATAGGACAAGTGAAAATTTGTGTATGCAATAATTTCGCCAAAATCATTCTGAACCTAACGAAATAAATATATTTCACTGCGTTTGTTTAGTATTAAATTATTGTAAACAAATCTAAAATATATTTAGTTGGGTTAGGCTAAAATAAATTGCGCTTTTGATAATGAGGTTAGATAAGTTTTCTAAGTTCCTTTTGGTGCAAAATTATAAATTTTTACATAAACATTAATGAAAAAAATATATCATTAAACGTATAAGAGAAAATTTTAGAAAGGACTTAATTTTAAATGAGTTCTTGGTAATTGACCAGTTTTATATATTCGGCACGACATATATATATATGTATATATATATATAATATATATATATATTATATATATATATATATATATATATATATATATATATATATATATATATATATATATATATATATATGTATGTATATAATATATGTCGTCCCGAATAGGCAGAACTTGCGATCTTGGCTTAAATAGCAACGCTCATCTTGCCATATAGGACAAACGAAAATTTGTGTAAGCAATAATTTCGCCAAAATCATTCTGAACCTAACGAAAAAAATATATTTCATTGTGTTTGTTTAGTATTAAATTACTGTAAACAAATCTAAAATATATTTAGTGGGGTTAGGCTAAAATAAATTGCTCTTGTTATAACAAGGTTAGGCGAGTTTTCAAAGTTCCTTTTGGTGGAAATTAAAAATTTTTACATTAACATTAATGAAAAAAAAATCTTTAAACGTACAAGAGAAAATTTTGGAAAGGACTTAATTTTAAATGAGTTCTTGCTAATTGACCAGTTTTGCATATTCGGCACGACATATATATATATATATATATATATATATATATATATATATATATATATATATATATATATATATAATATATATATATATATATATATATATATATATATATGTCGTGCCGAATAGGCAGAACTTGCCATCTTGGCTTAAATAGCAACGCTCATCTTGACATATAGGACAAGTGAAAATTTAAGTATGCAATAATTTTGCCAAAATCATTCTGAACCTAACGAAAAAAAATATATTTCACTGTGTTTGTTTAGTAAGTATTAAATTACTGTAAACAAATCTAAAATATATTTAGTTGGGTTAGGCTAAAATAAATTGCGCTTGTTATAATAAGGTTAGGTAAGTTTTCTAAGATACTTTTGGTGCAAAATTAAAAAATTTTACATTAACATTAATGGAAAAAAATATGTCTTTAAACGTATAAGAGAAAATTTTAGAAAGGACTTAATTTTAAATGAGTTCTTGCTAATTGACCAGTTTTACATATTAGGCACGGTACATATATACATATATATATATATATATATATATATATATATATATATTAATATATATATATATTATATATTATATATATATATATATATATATAATATATATATATATATATATATATATATATATATATATATATCTTTCGTTCTTTCAACGCGTCAGCTGTATCCCACCGAGGTGGGGTGGCCCAAAAGGTAAAACCAAAATTTCTCCTTTTAAATTTAGTAATATATACAGGAGAAGGGGCTACTAGGCCCTTGCTCCCGGCATTTTAGTCGCCACTTAAGACACGCATGGCTTACGGAAGAAGAATTCTGTTCCATTTCCAAAAGTTAATTCATTATTCACAAGTAATGAATTCTCTTCTCCCTCTCTCAGGCCTCTTATGATGGCTGATATGTAACATATAGGCCTAGAGAAATGGTGATCTCGTTATATTTTGTCAGTCTAAATTTAGTTAGTATTAAAATTATTAATCATTTAAATATTTAATCATTATTAATCATTTAAATATCATTATCGTTCAGACTGAATTTCAGTGAGTTATTTCAAAAATGCGTTTACACCTGATTATCAAGAATGTAATCATAAGCGAGTTCAAAACTGACCTATCTATTGTCATTGAGGCGAGAAGGTTGCGATGGGTGCACATGACAGCCTTAGATAGTCCCGTCGTGCCCGAGGACAAGAAGTTGATGGCCACTACTCTGCCAGGCTCCAGACCTTCCGTCTGAGATGGAGGATTGATTATTTGCTTTCATATAACACCCTTTTCCCCCAAAATATGATTAACTGTTTATCGTATGGTTAAGTTTTTTCTTAAGAACTTGAGCACAAGTAGAGTGAATGGAATTCTTGAATTATCCCGCGTCACAGCGTTTGACAATAAAGTTATACATAAGGGCGGTCTAGTTGAAGCCAACGCTGGTGTATGTTATTGTGTCAAAAATTATATTTTCCATGCATAATACCTTTTATTTGTCTTTTAATAAAAAATATGTTAAACCTTTAATAGTTTAATTAGTCTAATATTGTTTACTGTTATAGAATATTTAGCATTGTAGAGATTCGCTAAAATTCTAACTACATTATAACTTAGAACCATTAAGATAGTTTTGCTACTAGATGGTATAGCCAATAAGAACAACTCTCACTGCTTAATAAAACTGTTGCAGTATGAGTTTTTTTTTATTCGCCGGTATCTCCCGGCCCGGGTCTTTTCCAATAGTGGTGACCCGGCTTGGCTCCCTATCTGGGGAGTGTCTCGAGACATAAGTCTCCCATGGGAGGAGGTATAAGTTACCCCATCATCTTTGGGACCAAGTGTCCCCAGGCCTAGCCACAGTCCCGCCCTCACGGGGCTCGCAGGGGCAAGCTAGGTCTCTGGTGTGCCATTTGCCCCGCCTCAAAGGGGCTCCTGGATGGCAGTCTTGTGAGCTGCAGATGGTAGCAAGTTCAGGTTTTTTTTTTTTTTTTTTTTTTTTTTTATTCGCCGGTATTCTCCCGGCCCGGGTCTTCAGCTTCGCACTAATCCTGATCAATTAGATTATTAAGTTAATTATATTTTCCTCGTAACATTATCTAAATATTAATGCCTTTTCTGTAACAAAAAAAAATATATATATTTAAGACGATGTAAATTTTATTACATTGTATTTGTTGTTAAATAGAGTTCCTCAATTAGTAGATTATTTTGATGTATGAAATAGTTTTAGTAATAGAATATAGCAATTCTTAAACACATGAGGAGACGCGTCTCCCAGCTGAAGAAGGAGGAAGGAAAGAGAGTCGAGTTTTTTAATATGGTAGGCTGATACGTGCATTTATTTTACTCGAAATTTCGATGATGCCAATTCAAACGTATTCAAAAGGCTACTTTAGTAACTCCGCACACTACCCCTAGTGACACCTTGCTATACAACAGAAGACTCGGTCTCAGGAACTCTATATGAATAAATACGTGTCCAAGATCAAGGACACTATAACCAGAGTCTGACCATGGACAGCCCTCATAGCCGTAGTACAAGGTATTGATTAAATCAATATAAAAAGTGATACTGAGTGTATTGACAGTTCAAATGACATCGCCACTGGTGTTAGCGCTTCAAAACTGCGTAAGCGTAAAATCAAATTTTCTTGTAAAATCCTCAAATCATTGGCGGTGAACATAGCTGAGGAATATACGCTCAAGAAAAAGGAGCATGTATTCACAGTGTGTATAAAGGTTTCTGCCAGAAATCAACGGTGAACCCATCAACATGGACCATAAATACTCTTTCTGAGTTTGGTAACAGCAGCTGCTGAAGCCACCAATAATAGAGTTGATATATTCATGTATAAACTGTCCTGCCACCTATCACTTTTATTTGAACAGCAGATAGAGGCGCTGACATGCTTCTGCTACCCAACGGAACACTTGAGGTACATCCATGATGGTTACCTGGAGGTTACCTGGAGGTTATTCCGGGGATCAACGCCCCCGCGGCCCGGTCCACGACCAGGCCTCCCGATGGATCAGGGCCTGATCAACTAGGCTGTTACTGCTGGCCGCACGCAGTCCGACGTACGAGCCACAGCCCGGCTGATCCGGCACTGACTTTAGGTATCTGTCCAGCTCTCTCTGAAGGCAGCCAGGGGTTTATTGGCAATTCCCTAATGCTTGATGGGAGGCTGTTGAACAGTTTGGGCCCCGGACACTTATGGTGTTTTCTCTTAGTGTACCAATGGCGCCCTACTTTTTATTGGCGGCATTTTTGCATCGCCTGCCCAGTCTTTTACTTTCGTAGGGAGTGATTTCTGTGTGCAGATTGGGACCATTCCTTCCAAGATTTTCCAAGTGTAGATTATGATATATCTCTCCCTCCTGCGTTCCAACGAGTACAAGTCAAGTGCTTTCAAGCGTTCCCAGTAGTTAAGGTGCTTGACAGAACTTATACGTGCAGTAAAGGATCTCTGTACACTCTCTAGATCTGCGATTTCACCTACTTTGTATGGAGATGTTAATGTACAGCAGTATTCCAGCCTAGAGAGACAAGTGATTTGAAAAGGATCATCATGGGCTTGGATCTCTCGTTTTGAAAGTTTTCATTATCCATCCTATCATTTTCTTTGCACGTGCGATCGTGGCACTGTTGTGATCCTTGAAAGTGAGATCCTCAGATATTACTACTCCCAGGTCCCTTACATTATTTTTCCGCTCTATTGTATGGCCGGAGTCAGTAGTATACTCTGTTCTAGTTATTATCTCCTCCAGTTTTCCATAACGGAGTAGTTGGAATTTGTCCTCATTGAACATCATATTGTTTACCGTTGCCCACTGGAAAACTTTGTTTATATCTTCTTGGAGGTTAACCGCGTCCTCAGCAGATGACAGCCTCATGCAGATCCTAGTATCATCCGCAAAGGATGATACGGTGCTGTGGTGTATATATCTGTTATGTCTGATATGAGGATAAGGAATAAGATGGGGGCGAGTACTGTGCCTTGTGGAACAGAGCTCTTCACTATGGCAGCCTCCGATTTAACTCTGTTGACCACTACTCTTTGTGTTCGATTTGTTAGGAAGTTGAAGATCCATCTCCCCACTTTCCCAGTTATTCCTTTAGCACGTATTTTATGGGCTATTACACCATGATCGCATTTGTCAAATGCTTTTGCAAAGTCTGTGTATATTACATCTGCATTCTGATTTTCTTCCAGTGCATCCAAGGCCATATCATAGTGATCCAGTAGTTGTGAGAGGCAGGAGCGACCTGCCCTGAACCCATGTTGCCCTGGATTGTGCAGATTTTGGGAATCCAGGTGATTTGCAATCCTGCTTCTTAGCACTCTTTCAAAGATTTTTATGATGTGGGACGTCAGAGCTATTGGTCTATAGTTCTTAGCTAATGCTTTGGTGGTTCACTTCTCCAACGATTACCATGGCCTCGTGATGTTACATTTGAGTCTGTCTGCAAGATGTATGTTAACTATGTTACTAAAACGTAAAGGTATCTCAAAATTGTTTTTGAAGGATATGGTTCAATCACGAAGGATGTAACATATCTTCACCAGACAAGAGGTACAACAGGTCTCTAAGGAAAAGTTGATAAAGAAGCTGATAGAAACTAGACGCAAGGCAGTTGATGCTAACTTATTAAATGTCAATGTCATGATGAATTCATATACCATCTGCGTCTCATCTGCCATCTACCAGGCAACGGACTTCTTGATTTGTTTTCATGATGACGGCATTAGGTTAGACAAAAGCATGTCCGTCAACACTCACAAAATATGGAACTCCAGTTAGCTGCAAATTTATTTGGGTGCAGATGACGCGCAATTTGGTTTAATTGGTGCATCCAGTCTGTGGCTGGGAGTCAACATCACTCCTGTTTGGCACTGGGAAAGAATTTGCTTTAATAAAGTTGAAGAACAATACTTATTTTAAGAAACAGTCTGAAGTATTCCACCGAGTAGAAAATACAGTTAAGGTACTTCAGCTTGAGAAGAGGAACTTTACTCTTACAATGAAACGCCGGAAAGACTGGACGTAGTGCCTTACCGGCGACAAACATTGCAATCGCCTCTTTTATGTGGGTTTGCACTCTGCCACATAAAACGGCAGAATCACGATATCAGAGCGCTTGTGTTTATTTCAGGGTTCAGCAGTAGATGGATATGCAATATTAAGGATGGCTATTTGTCAGTAGTCGGTCTATACTGCGAATAATAGATTTATAACCAACTCTAGAAGCTCTACTGAAAGTGATCAGATGCAGTTGCAAGGCTGGATGCGGTACGAAAGTAAGTACCCGCAAAAACAGTCTGAAATGCTCAATAGCATATCTCGAGTACATGAGAGGTTAGGTTAGGTAAGGTTTGTCAGGAAACAAGACAAGTGTTTCCTGACGCGGGTCTTAGTCAGATGACAACCCGCATCTGAAGCTTTGGTCATCTGGCCGAGGCCTTCCACTGGCTTACCGGTCAACCCCTTTAAAAATTATGGTCATTTATAATCATTTTCCATTGTGTTGGATACAGTACATGAGAAACCATACCCCCGGCCGGGACTGAACCCGCGGTCATAGAGTCTCAAAACTCCAGCCCGTCGCGTTAGCCACTAGACCAGCTAGCCACAATAAGATTCATCCAACTAGGTATATTTCTACACCATAGGAAGGTTAGCACAGGCACCTCTGTGACCACAAATGCAAGTTTTTACAGACGAATCTCCAGCTAGCGTGGCCGTGACGAACTCTAGCTCAAGTCCCTTCATTGCCGTCAACATGACTCAAGAAATCGTAATGACACGATTGCAAACAAACCATACCCCCGGCCGGGATTGAACCCGCGGTCATAAAGACTCAAAACTCCAGCCCGTCGCGTTAGCCACTAGACCAGCTAGCCACAATAAGATTCATCCAACTAGGTATATTTCTACACCTACGTCACGGCCACGCTAGCTGGAGATTCGTCTGTAAAAACTTGCATTTGTGGTCACAGAGGTGCCTGTGCTAACTTTCCTATGGTGTAGAAATATACCTAGTTGGATGAATCTTATTGTGGCTAGCTGGTCTAGTGGCTAACGCGACGGGCTGGAGTTTTGAGACTCTATGACCGGGGTTCAATCCCGGCCGGGGTATGGTTTGTTTGCAATCGTGTCATTACGATTTCTTGAGTCACAGTACATGAGAGCTAGATCTGCAAAGTTATACTTGCCTTTCATGGACAATAAGGATGAACTTTGGA